CTGTATTTTAACAACTGTATTTTAAGCTATGCCTTTCATTTGGTAAACTCATAGTTTACTAAGTGAGGTATTACAAAAGTAAAGATAGTAAAGATGCATTACAAAATATGTGTTACAAAAAGGTGTCGTAGCTGTTAAGATTGAGAGAAACAGACTTCAATGGAGATTTGGTTAAATCTCTAATTCACTCAGTGTATTTTTCAACTTAATTTTTTTCAGTTACGTTCACTTTCTTGTTGCTTTTAATGCATGTATATTATAGCCAGATAAACATTACTGCCTTTGAAAGGCACTATCAGTTAAAGAAGATAACTTCTCCTTTCTGATTACTGTATTTCTCCTTTCTGTTTATTGTAATTAAGTTAATATGGATAAAATTCCACAGACCAAAGACAATCATTTATGGAATTAATTTATTATGATATTTAGCCAAGGGATAATTAGTAGGAGTTAACATAAGCAGGACAAATAGCACAAAAATTTTCACTTATTTTGCTTATGTCAAACACATATTTGTTAAAATAATATAAACTAAAAATAGTTTGTGGTTTCCATGGATTGGTTTACTGTTCCCTTCATTTAGCCACACCTCTAAGAATAAGAATTCTCAAAACAGGCTTTCCTGTATAATGCTTCAGTATAGTGTAATCTTCTGTTTATTGGAAAACATGCCTGTACAATGGATTTTATGTAGTAAAATGGAAACAGCTGTGGAGAAAATTGCACAAGCTCCCTGGTGTGAGTCCTGGATGTGACAATCTCCTAACATATAATTATGCGTGCATATACACACACACACACACAGTATATATTTTCCTTTGTATAAAACAAGTATATGATTCAAGTGAAAATATTTTATTCAAACTTTGAACTATGTACAATGGATCATATAAATGTAAGTATTATTATTGAAATAATTATAATAATTATTCATGAAGTGATTCTATGAGTGAAGGGCTTTTATAAGCACTTTATATAGCATTTCATTTCATCCTCACAAACTCACTAATAATATCCATTCCATAACAAGGATGCTAAGTTTCAGAAAGATTAAATAACTGGCCTATCATTACATAGGTAGTAAATCATACTGCAGGCATCAGACTCCTTGTCTTTGCCTCTGAGAAAATCCTGTGCATTGAAACACTATTATATCTAGCCACTAGGATTAGTGAATAATCCTGTAGTGTGTGACTAGTTAAACATTCACTTAATAGCATGTTTTATTTATAATATTAGGTATTAGCTAGTAAAGACATGAAATCTGTTATCTCCAATTATCTGCAAGCCTGGATTCAGGGTAATTCTTGTCTGAACTTAGAGATGGCAAAGTACATTCAACAAAACAGGGTCGTGCCCTGGAACGGGCTGGAAAGAACAAGGCTGGTTTAACAGCTAGCACAATGAAATAATAAAATTAAATAAGAAGTAAATAGACTAGGAAGAATAGAACATTTTGACATAATTTACACATAATTACTATCCTGAGATCTAATTCTTAAAAAATCCTATTAAAGTTAAGTTCAAAAATAAAGTTACTAAATAATAGAACAAATCCAAAAGCCTAGTATATAAATGTAAATAAAATATTTCATAGTGAACATTTTTAAACATTAGCAAAAATTGGAGAGAAAAAAGGAATGCTATTTTAAAATGATATTAATGATATCATCTATCTATCAATTTCTCTTTCAGAAAACATTCTAGACATAATCAATGCACATAAATGTTTACATGCTAAGATAGGTATAATTAGTATATTTACATTATTGAAAAATTAGAAAAAAATAACTACTATTTCAGAATAGAGAAATGTTGAATAAAATTTATCTATTGATTAGATTATGCAATCAACAACATTAATTATATGTATGCAGTGCCTATTCATGATTCTCACAATATCTTAGTATATGAAAGAGGCATTATATAAGATATGACATTTTTTGAATATTGCAAAAAATATATGCAAATTATGCATGCAAAAGAATGGGAAAACACACTAAAAAAAGTGATCATTGGAATTATCCCTGGGTTTGAGATTATTAAGGACTTTCATTATCTAATTGGGTTCTACTTTTCCAAATTTTATTCAGTGACTAAGCATTTTTTTATAATGAGCAAATACATAATAGATATTATTAAACAAGGCACTTCCTCCAAGGAACATTTCCTGTTTAATCCTATTTCATTCTGATTATACTAAATGGTCTTGCTATAATATATATTTGAACTCTTGGGTTCTTGTTGTAATCTTTCCATTCTTGTGCAATATGCCCGATTGTGCTTAAATATTCCCTCCCAGGACTCATGATTAAATCATTTGAAGAGGCAGTTACTAAGAGTGGAGACTGCATATATTTCTTTATATAATTATAGTTTTATGTTCCTGGGCAATTGACTCAAGTAATTTTCACATGGGGATTTTTACGAGGATTCAATGAGTTGATGTAAAACAGCATAAAGATGAATAAAATAAAATATTTAAATCCTAACTGATTATTTTCATTTTGCAGTTATCTTTCCATGATGACTAAAAATATTTTACTTTGGTTATCAGTTTTTTTATGGTTAGTCAAATCCATAGTACAAATATGCAGAATTATTTGACAGGCGGTAAGAAAAGAAAGAAACTTTATACCCTTTAGGTTAATGTAGTATCCTGACAAAATTTATACTGTTTTCATTATATACATCATTCGTCATTTATATTGTTATTTGTTTGATATGAATATGAGAGTAATTCTTATGGAAAGAAGAGGTCATTCTACAGCATATGAAAACTCTGCATGGGTGGTTATTTGGACAGTATAGAAAACTTCCCAATCTGAGAAGGAATCATAAAGGGGAGTAAGACAATGAAGACAGAAATGAAGTCCCTAAAGTCAGATTTCACCTAATACAAAATTTAGTCTGTGGCCAGTTGTAATGTCCACCTCTTTAAAGGATGTTATTCACTAGTTCTTTCGGAAGGTAGGAAGGAAGGAAGAAGGACAGGAGGAAGGAAGAAAGGAAGGGATTCTGATTTTAATGTTTACTGGAAAGAATACTTGTTAAGACTAACTTTTATTATACACGGACACAATCCAAAGACTAAGTATTACATAACAAATATAAGCTGTATTCAAAAATATTTTTACATTCTACTTAGTCTAAACAAATACCTCACAATTAGTCAAAACAGTTTTTTCCTCATGCTTTCTTAATATAAAATATATTATACTTTCTTAGTATATACTTTCTTACTTAATACTTTCTTAAGATAAAATAGCATAAATATCCCTTTTTTTGTTATCTTTGACAGAATAGGACATTATTGTGGACAAGATGCATGATCAAATTGGTCCTGGAAACAAGTACTGTATCTCTTTGCACCGGTATAATAATAAACTCATTGAAGCTTTCATAAGGTGCGTTATCAGAAACTTTCTGCACTGTTGCTGTGTTGTTGAAATGAATCTGTAGTACCCCTAAATCCACTGGTAATCCTTTCCAATTACAAATTATAAAAATGTAGAAGTATGGTTCCTTGATAAATAGGGACGTATCCACTTCATTATTTAGGTAATTTTCTAAACCTCTAAGAAGATTTCTTACCAATTCTACATTGGTTTTGGGGAAGAGACTGGTTCATGCTTTAGAAGAATTACCCAGCATAATTTTCCTCATCTGTCAGTTAGCTCTTCCCATAATGAACAGTCTTGGGAATTAAAAAAAAATTACCCAACTTAAATTTAATACCCTACTCATTCTTGCTAGTCAATATTTAAATATCACTATTCTTTATCTTTAAATAAATTGTGTTTTTAATACAATTATTTTAATTCACATGCCATGACTTCTCTCCCTTCTGCTATTGCCTATAGTCTCAGTCTCCACAAACAAGCTCCTTGATTGTCAAAATGACAGTCTTCTAAGCAACCTTTTCTAAGACCAAGGACAGCATAAAGAGTAAAAGTAACTTCCTTTCTTTTGGAAAGAAGGTTCCTTGTCTTTGTCTCTGAAAGAAGTATCTCAGAGGTTCTGTTGTGTCATTTACCTCTCAGTTTTGCCCCATTGTTCAACTTGTAAGGTGTTTCACTCTCTGTAGTTCCTCCTAGTGCAAACTTCTGTGTGTCTAAATCTCATTACAATATTGACTCTACTCATCTTTTATGCCATATTTGGAAGAATATACAAGAATACCTACGGTCTCCTTGTCTTTTACTCCTCAGGGAGTGTAGTGACTTTGGGATGGGGCATGCTAGAAATTTTGACCTTGGGGAATCCATCTCTCTGTTGCAATTAAACAAAATTGATGGAGAAAGGAGCTTGGGCCATGGGGAAAATATGAAAAATATCATCATAAACTGCTTACAAAGCAAATGTGTGTATATATGTATATATGTATATATATATAATGC